AAATAGTTTTATGGTCAGGTCGTTTTATTGAGGTGTCGACTTTTGTTCAATATTTAGTCAATGCCGAAGGAATAAATTTTACCGATTTAACGTCATAGCCTGGAATGTCATTGGACAACAATTTGCCCAACATGGTATGCAATCTCATGTGGCCGGCATCTACACAAGCTCCACATGGTACAAAACATATTACACGTTTGAAATGTACAAAATTAGTTTATTCATCAAATAATTTTTTTTGCTAATTTCATTTTCTGAAGTTTTTATTGTATTAATTTTCATTTAGACAAACATAACATTCTACTTAAATGTTTGATAAGTGTATAAGCTAGAAATTTTTAATTTGTGAGATGACATAATTATAACATGAACACACATATTTATAACATAAATAAATGTTTAATAGCAAACATTAATTAGATCAAACTTGAAAGTCAAATATGTAGAAATTGAGTGAGTGGTTGATAAAAGTTTGTAAAATTTTACTAAAATTTCATCAATTTTTTAACTTGTCAAGCTTTATTTTTTTACTGTAAATTTCATGAAATTCATATTTTTTTTTAATCACCTTTAATAAAAAAATTCCTAAAACTTTTAATAAAACTTTATATTGAAATGCGTCTTTCACTATAAATCAACGGGGTTCTTTTCAAAATGACCGAGTCAAAAGCACATAATTCATAATTGACTTTTCATTCATTGTATATTTTAAAATTGGTCTATTGGAGTTCAAAAGACAAAAATGTCATTAAATGAATAAAACGATTTCAAAATATGGTTTTGTTAAAAAGATAATACTACCCTTTTAGTTAACAAATAAAACCAAGCACTTTCTAACAACCGAAATGGTCTGTTAACAGACCATTTTCGTCTGTTTTGGTTGTTGCGTTCCTCCGTCTGTTTCAGTATTTTTGTCATAACTTTTTCTCCAGGTATCCGATTAAGGTGATTCAAAATGCATTCGTACGATAACTCAAATGGATACATTTTTGCCAGAAATAGCTCATTTTCAATTCGAATGTTTACTGGGCCAAAAATGGATCTCAATCTCCAACTAAAAATTTGGACATCCTTTTGAGGTGGAAAATTGATTTGTTTTCACTCCTTTTGATCTTTAGTTACCTTAACATGCTCGAATCTTCATTGTGAGTTTCGATACAACTTTTGAATACCTTGAT